AATATGCAAATTTTTATTTCAGTTTCAAATATTGTAAATCCACTTGAAGATACTTTAAAAGAATTAGCTTTTGGTGACAACCTTTTGTGTAGGCCCATTTATTAGAGGATTGATCCCTTTCAAGTTCCTAAACTTCCTTGGGATCAATCCGGGTTTCAGAAAAACTAATGAATGCCAAAATTTGGGTCTGTTTACATTATTTGGACGTGGATTCATGGGTACTACTAAACAGAGTAGGCTAGAGTACGATAGAGTACTTTAGAGTACGCTAGAAAAATTATGTTATCTAATGCAATTAAATTCTTTATTTTTGTTTGTACAACTTGATTTAACATTATTATAAACTTATATTGCAATATTTGTTTCAAATATATTTGTTTTTAGCGGTATTTTGACAAGAAAATAACATCCGTAATTGAACGCATTAAGTTATACGGTATACCAATAGCTAATACCCCAATCTCGATTATTATTTTGTTTCAGACTTTCTTACTAAAGACTTACATCTAAATTTTATCAAATATGAAATTAATTGCATGTGTAAATATTTTTCACATTCACATTGAGACATTTTAACATGTTCAAGTTAAATTAGATCGGGATCAAACGATCAACCGTATCCTGAAATCAAAAATTGAAATAACTCCTAAAATAAAGAAAACATACTGTACAATTTTTTCTTAAAATATATATTCAATATGTTTAATTAAAGTAGAAAAACATACAAAACGAAGTTTAATTGCATTAAATTATAAAATATTACTAGCGTACTCTACAGTTCTCTATCGTACTCTGTTTAGTAGGACCGTGGATTCATTCCATTTACAACCAAAATAAAAATTTTCGTTTTCTGCAAACAGTTCAATTTACTTACATATATCATGACAAGCTTTTAGATGAGAATTAAGTCTTTGTTTACTAGACAATATTTGATGGCATATGTAGCAGCAGTTGTTCTGTTTTCTCTGGGCCGCCATTATCCATGATGTAGCAGCAGTTGTTCTGTTTTCTCTGGGCCGCCATTATCCATGCTGTTTGACGGTCTCCCCACAAATCGTGTCCGAGAAATAAATGTTCAACGACTTACGTGATACATGTACATGTATATGACGAATCCAACTGTTTTTCATTTATTTTAAGTGTAAGGTTTGCTCATGTAAAAAAGAATTTTGTGTTTTTAGCAGTAAATTATTCACATCGGTACTGAAAATAAATCTCGTAAATTTTCTTTTCATAAAAGAACGTCGGACCACTTCTCACAGGTTAAAAATGACCTTTCCACCGTGTGTTCAGCATCATCTCGCGCGAACTTTCTAGAAGTTCTTCTATCGTGCATAGACCAATTATGCACTGTTACACAAATAAATTTAGAAGAACACAATCACATTTGATTAATATTTTTATACAATTTTTGTTTGAAAATAGTATTTTTTGTTGCAAAAAAAGTATTTTAACTTGTTCTCCACTCAATCTGACCTATAATTATTTTAATGCTCCTTCTGTGGTCTCAGTTTCTAAGTGTGATACGAAATCCGTATACCAGGTGTTCAGCATCCTCTCGCGATACTTCATCGAGAGGCGCAAAACGACAGAAGATAATGAAAACGCGGGGTTTCTGAAAAAAATGTCAGGTTCCGAAATGCATGAACAAGTCCAATATGCTGTGATGGAATGGCCCACAGATGGCAATCAAGTGTCAATTCTACATTTGAAACATATTATCTCGCCAAAGAAAGCTTGGAATAGCTATAATAAAGGTGATGTTGGGAGGAGTAAATATCCCGGTGCCAATGGCGAGTGGCCATTCATAATTCACGGAGTTGGAGGTAAGAACTTAAGGGTTCTATCAGTGAAACAAAATTTTATAATATTTATTTAATTAAATTAAAAACATAGATAATGACATGGACCAACACTGAAGTTTAACAATTTAGCACAAAAACTCAGTCAATTTTTCAAATGTTTTATATAGCTGCCTAAATTATGACAATAACATGCAAAGAAGCAGAAAAATAACGATTTTTTTAATTCCTTGAAGAAAGGTAGTTAGACTAACTTTACAGCAAGTACTGGGTGACATAATGGGGGTGCAGGACTAATCTGGTACATTTTTAGGATGATGAATTAATACTGTAACAGATCTGTACTGACAATTTGAAAAGGCTTATAAAAGGGGGGGTGGGGCTGTTGTAGTTCTTAATGTATAGGTTTCAAGTCTCTCTATTTTCTTATTTTTTTATTTTAGTTTCATTTGAAATATTTTTGGTATGGTAGATTAAAAAATATTGTTTGCTTATTAGCTTCCAGAAAAGATCTGGAACCTTTAATGGAAAGAGTAATGAGGCCACAGACTGATGATGTTTCAACTGAAGAAACTTCAGGTATTTTGTCATAAAATGATATGTTTACCACATCTCAAACTACTCATAACAAAAACACTCACTGAAACTATTAATTGATATAAAAAATACATATAAATTTAAATACTGCTTTAATTAAAAAATAATAGATCGACAAATAATAGATTCATTTGGTTCAAATTTCATGTGTTGATATCAATGTCCAGGCAGAGACCAACCACAGTTTAAGAACAGACCAAATAATTAAGGGTTGTGAATAATATTGAAACTGTTGGGGGCCACAATTGGGCCCTTACCTTAATAAGTTTTACTAGTCCACACTGATATTTAATATGGGGTCCACATTTTGATTACTTGAAAAAAAAATCTTTTCATATTAAAAATATTGTTTTATAAAAGAAAAAAGTGTTTAAGGTCAGTAATTGCATGGAAAAGAATGAAAATTTTTACGTCCAGTAAAACTAGTATTAAAACCAGTCAACAAACTGAAAATTCTGGACTTTTGATAACTCAAACTCTTGATCTATAAATTTTAAGACCAACCCCAGGTGGTATTCCTCATCTGGTATATTTTCGACTATAAGTCTAAACCTTTTGCCTCTTCAAATTATTTGTTTATTTTTCAGAGTGTCTACCTGAGATTAAAACTAAAAAAAGAAAAAAGAATATTGAAGATAAAGAGAATAGTTCCAAAAAAGGTAGGTTGAAATAGTTGAAGCTATAAAAATCCACAATAAAAGCAGGTATGACAGTCACAAACAAAATTATGAATTAATTTTTCCTACTTCAGTAGAATATTTTCAGAAGATCTGATTTTTTTTATTAAAGCAAAGACAAATGTAACAAATGAAAAAAGTCCTGAGAGATCGGCTGCTGCCGCCATATTGAAGATGAGAGCTGCTAGTGGTAACATCTCACTAGTAAATGACAATGAATTGAATGATTCCAACACAAATCAGATTAATCCTGTATCATCACTGACTGTTCCAGGTTTGTAAACACATTGATTTATTACAAAATTGAAAGACATCAAGATTTTTTGAATTTATATTTTTAGAGTGTATAAAATAAGTAGTTACATATCATGGAATAACTTTATTAAAATTTGCATTACAATTTTTTTTATTTTTTAAAGTTGCGCCTGGTGGAGAAACAAACGGGCCAAGAGCTGCAAGTAACACAGCAGTCATCCCGGAATCCTTCACAAGTAGCCCATTAGCACTTAAGCTTCCAGGTTAGTATTGAAACACATTAATTAAGAACAGTATTTAAAGACCTTAAACTTATTTATTTTTTTGATATTTATTGAATCTCTTTTAATTAAATTGTACAATATGATAGAAGTTTGCATTACAAAATTTTTTGTTCATTTAAGTAAGGACTGTTGGAGATCATGGTGATAGAAACTTTTCAGCAGAAAGGCCAAGAGCTCCAAGTAACACAGCAGTTACCCCTGATTCCTTCACATGTAACCCATCAACAGTTCAGCTGCCAGGTTTGTATTGAAAGACATTAAGTACATTATTTGAAGACCTTAAACTTATTTATTTTTTTATATTTATTGAATCTCTTTTAATTAAATTTTACAATATGATAGAAGTTTGCATTATAAAATATTTTGTTTTTTGAAGTAAGGACTATTGGAGATCATTGTGATGGAAACTTTTCAGCAGAAAGGCCAAGAGCTGCAAGTAACACAGCAGTTACCCCTGATTCCTTCACAAGTAGCCCATCAACAGTTCAGCTGCCAGGTTTGTATTGTAACGCATCAATTAAATAAATTATTTATGTTTTTTACATAACAAATCTCTTTAATTAAGTTGCAGAATATGATGGCATAACATAGAAGTTTGCATTATAAAATATTTTGTTTATTGAAGTAAGGACTGTTGGAGATCATGGTGATGATTAATTAAGTACAGTATTTGAAGACCTCAAATTATTAATGTTTTTTATATAATAAATCGCTTTAATTAAGTAGTATAATATGATGGAATAACACAGAAGTTTGCATTACCAATTTTTTTGTTTATTGAAGTAAGGACTGTTGGAGATCATGGTGATGGAAACTTTTCACCAGGAAGGCCAAGAGCTTCGAGTAACACAGCAGTTACCCCTGATTCCTTCACAAGTAGCCCATCAACAGTTCAGCTGCCAGGTTTGTATTGTAACACATTAATTAAGTACAGTATTTGAAGACCTCAAATTATTAATGTTTTTTATATAATAAATCGCTTTAATTAAGTAGTATAATATGATGGAATAACACAGAAGTTTGCATTACCAATTTTTTTGTTTATTGAAGTAAGGACTGTTGGAGATCATGGTGATGGAAACTTTTCACCAGGAAGGCCAAGAGCTTCGAGTAACACAGCAGTTACCCCTGATTCCTTCACAAGTAGCCCATCAACAGTTCAGCTGCCAGGTTTGTATTGTAACACATTAATTAAGTACAGTATTTGAAGACCTCAAATTATTTATGTTTTTTATATAATAAATTGCTTTAATTAAGTAGTAGAATATGATGGAATAACACAGAAGTTTGCATTACCAATTTTTTTGTTTATTGAAGTAAGGACTGTTGGAGATCATGGTGATGGAAACTTTTCACCAGGAAGGCCAAGAGCTTCGAGTAACACAGCAGTTACCCCTGATTCCTTCACAAGTAGCCCATCAACAGTTCAGCTGCCAGGTTTGTATTGTAACACATCAATTAAATACAGTATTTGAAGACCTCAAAATTATTTATGTTTTTTATATAACGAATCTCTTTAATTAAGTTGCAGAATATGATGGCATAACATAGGAGTTTGCATTATAAAATATTATGTTTATTGAAGTAAGGACTATTGGAGATCATGGTGATGGAAACTTTTCACCAGGAAGGCCAAGAGCTTCGAGTAACACAGCAGTTACCCCTGATTCCTTCACATGTAGCCCATCAACAGTTCAGCTGCCAGGTTTGTATTGAAACACATCAATTAAGTACAGTATTTAAAGACCTCAAAATTATTCGAATTTTGAATGAACCTGATTGAATCTTAATTGAATTGTAGCAAATAATATCAGTCCCTATGATTATGAATATGGGAGTCACCAGAGTGAGATGATGTACAGATATCCAGATTGCAGTTCTCTTCAGTGGACAGGGGGTCATGTTTCTAGTGCTTTCAATACATTGTATAATGGAAGTAACTGCCATGAATGCTGCAACACGATTTCATTCCTTAAAATGAAATTGGAAAGCCTGGAGAGGGAGCTTGAGAAAGTTAAATCCAAAGTAAGTTTTATTTAAAGCAACTTCTCATTTGGGGGTGCTGCTTAGTTTAACATTTAAAAATGGTATTGGTCTTTTTTTAACAAGGCTATATTTACTGTTTTCAGTGCAAGCGTGTCAGTACCAGTACTCCATCCCCAAGTAATTCAATCCCTGAAAAGCCTGAAGTGTCCACAGCATCTTTGGTGTGTATGTCATATACTGATACATAATGTAAATAACTCATCTGAGCTTTTTAGCTCACCTGAGCTGAAAACTCAAGTGAGCTTTTCTGATCACATTTTGTATCTAGTCTGCATGTCCATCCATCTGTCTGTCTGTCTGTAAACTTTTGACATATTCGACTTCTTCTCAGGAACCACTGGGCCAATTTTAACCAAACTTGCCACAAAGCATCCTTGGGTGAAGGGGATTCAAGTTTGTTCAAATGAAAAGCCAAGCCCTCTTCCAAGGGGAAATATGTATGAATTAATGAAAAAAATATGATATTGGGGTAACAATATGAGATCAAATAATATGTTAAGAAAAAAAAAATTTCTTTTCAAGTATGGCAAAATTATACATGAGTTTTCTATCCTTTATTGATAAATTGACATTCTCAAGTTAGTATTAGAAAACAAATCCTCATCCCCCAACAAGTAAGCTTTTCGATAATAAGGTGATTTGTGTTTTTTAACTAGCCCATGTGTTCTGGTGAGCGATGTGGCCCACAGGCCTTTTGTTTTTTATTACTCCAGCAAGTGTTTTAAGGACAGATGAGAGGTTCCTCAACAATGTATAGTTTTTTTTTCCAAAAAATTGTCACTAAAGTATTATTACTAATATGTTTATTCACAAAAAAGAAAAATGAGAGTTCCTGTGTAAAAGAGAAATATACAGAGGAACCTATCATCTGAAAACCACTTTAAACCAAACATTCCATAAACCATTAACATTAGTTTTGTCTAGAGGCTAATTTGTCCATCATAAGAATATGTAAGTTCTGTTCTGTTCACAATCAAGCAATTTTTTGAAAGAATTATGCACCTTGGACAGTTTCTCTTCCTTTTTGCAGATGTTTCACACTGAATTGAAATTTGGCATGCAGATTTATCATTAAATATCTAGGTCAAGCTCTGGTTTGGTTAGGATGGAGCAATTTTTGACAGAGTTGTGCTTGTTGGACTTATAAAATTCCAATTAATCATAATGGGGAGGGGGACATAAGTGTTTCACAAACATCTCTAGATTGAATGGCTTTTATATTTGTTTTTCTTGTTTATAGGAGGAGGAGATTGAAAATGTGGTGTGCAAGGCTCCATGCTTAACTTCGGCTGTGAAGCAGGTGCTTTTGCACTCATTTTCCATTCAAGAACTGATGAATTCATCGGTTATGGGGCATAAGAATGTGAAGGCCATGGACAAAAGAGGCCTTGACTCGACAAGGAGGTCCAAAATTGAACGTAAGTTATTAACCTCTGCACTCCATGTGTTAGCTGCAATAATGTAGCCCTCTCAGATTTTTTTTATCTGATATTTTCTGGAGAGGGCTATAATTCCATCGCATCTCCGTAATGGTGCAAATATATTTTTTTTGGGTGATTGGAGGCAAAATAAATTATTTTTACATTAAACTTTGTATAAGAGGGAATTTTTATTCATTGTCAACAACATAGCCTGTTAAACTCGAAAACCATGTAAAATAAATCTGTGTCTTTTCCAGCTGCAATAATCAGCAGCCATGACAGCTCACGCATGACGTGGTGAGACTTTTGCTTGAAATTTGGAACAACCAAATAAAACAAATGTCGATGTTTATAAACGATTGTGCTATAATATATTACAAAAACATTGATAAATAAAACCATTTCAAGTGTTATTTTTGGGCAAACAGCGATACGTATGCTTAAAAAAAGGGAATTCCTAGTAGATCCGCTCCTATAGAACCTAAATTCTTATTGGCCGTCCCAAAATACAAACCATCAAGGTCAGTAAACATGGCGGATAAATTCAAGTTAAGCTGTTGACACACAAGAAAAATAATTGATATATGGATCGTTGTGAATATTTTTGGATCGACTTATGTTTTGCATAATTACATATTTGGATTCCAGGTAAGAGATGATAATTACTAATAATTTGAGCCGAAATTCGTGCGGGAGTGATCCACTGCCGCATCTGCGCCATTATTAGAGTATCCTAAGGAGTTGTAGCCCTCCCCCCCCCCCCCCCAAAAAGTCATTTATTTCTTACCTGCGCAGAAAGCTCATAGCTCAGTGAAATTTTCTGATCAAAATGTCTGTTGTTGTAATCATTATTAATGTTTCACAATTTCATCATCTCCAGAAGTAAAACTGTTCACCCCTGGCGATTCTTTTAAGTATCTTTACTGCAGTTTAAATGCCTAGCAGTTCAGGGGTATTGATCATTTATCATAAGTGATACAAATGATCACTGATTGTCCATATTTCTTCAAAAAACTCTATCGATGCAAGTTATGTAGAGTAATTGAAAAATAATCATCCTTTTTATTCTTACATGCAGTAAATCTGAATTTCTTTCCATTAAAGAGAAATGCTTATATCATTATATGAAGAAGCTTTTATGTTGACAAACATTTATTTCACTTTTCAGAAGCTTTGTGCAAACACTTTGGAAAAGATTTAGCTGTGGTGAGGGGAAAGATCAGAGACAGACTGAAATTGATAAGAAGGGCTTACAGTGGGCTGGAGGAAGGCCAAAAAAATTAATCAATAGTTTCTGAGGCACTGCCCCATCAATTCAACATTGAATAATTTATTTTATTTTAATTTATTTATTTTATTTTATTTTAAAGGAGTTATTATCCTCTTCATAAATGCTAAGATGGACTTTTTTATCAGAAAAATAATACATTTCTTCTTAATTTTATTAATTAACTTTTAAATAAATGTTTGGAGTAACATTATTTAAAGTTGAATAAATATTACAACCAATTTCAGGGAACAAAAATTAAGAATTCGTATATATTATCATTTTATTGAACAAATGGCTTAAAAAAAGGTGTTAAACCTGCTTCAAAAAAAAAGGCTGCTTGCTGCATTGAATTTTGATTTTTTTTGGTCTGAGAAACTATTGATTAATTTTTTTTGGCCTAAGAATATTGCCAAAGTGATCAAGTGTTGGAGTATGATATATATTATTTAAAATGAAAGTCACAGGGCTCCAGATGTAGTGCGTTTTTGTAGAAATACAAAAAATTGAAAACATTGAATGTTATGAATATCTATTGTGGTGTATTAGTACAGTTACCCTGTAATGAAATTATTGATTCTGATTTAGTATTGCATTATACCAATTATTGTGAAAGTTGAGAAAATATATTTATTGTGGTAAATTACTACATTGACATTGAAATGTAACTATTAATTCCAATTTGGTGTATACAATAGCAGTTACTGTATTATTGTAATTGTTTATTACATACTTCAGTTTACATCTACGATAAAGATATTAAATTGTGAAAAAGTTAATTTGTTACATCTACTGTAAATATTTGTACATTTTTAGCATATTTCTCTATGACCCTGAAATTTTTATTGTATTTTTTTTTTCAATGCAATTAATGCAATGATTAAATTTTTGTTAACAGAAATAATAACTGTAGATTAATTGTTTTGTTTTAGTCATTTGGTACAATTTTTATTTAGAGAATGTCCTAGAATATCCCAGGTATTCCTGGGACATTTTATTCCTGGGAAATCTTGGCATTTTGATTCTTGGGATTTTTCTAGAACCCCTTTTGGGACAGTCCAAGGAAATCCCAGGAATTCCTGTTCCAAAAACATCTCAGGAAATCTCCCAGGTATTCCTGGGACATTTTATTCCTGGGAAATCTTGGCATTTTGATTCTTGGGATTTTTTCTAGAACCCCTTTTGGGACAGTCCAAGGAAATCCCAGGAATTCCTGTTCCAAAAACATCTCAGGAAATCTTAGGATTAATCCTAGGATTTTTTCAAGATATCCGAGGAATAAATCTCAAGATTATCTTAGGATTTCTTAGGACATCTCAGGAATATTCTGCAAGGGCTGCGTGTTGTGTAAAACTTGTGTTAGCGAGACAGCGTGTTGTGTGAACTTGTGTTAGCGAGACAGCGTGTTTGCGAATTCGTGTTAGCATGATAGTGTGTTGTGTGAACTCGTGTTAGCCTGATATTTTGTTGTGTGAAATTGTATTAGCGTGACAGTGTGTTGTGTGTTAGTGTGACAGCGTGTGGTGCGAACTTGTGTTAGTGCGAAAGTGTTTTTCAGTGTTGTGATGGCGAGCTGTGTGATAGCCTAATGGCGTCTTTTGTGTCGGTAAGATGGCACACTTTTATGAAAGTGCTATTGAGCTTTAGCAAGTGGCCCTATCTGGACACGCCTTATTATAATTGATCAGTTCTCAGATATACAGTGAATTACCGGTATTATTGTCACCATGAAATCAGCATTTACAGTTGCAATTACCTAGTTAGTAATCATAAGATATTGGTTTGTCAGTTTTAAAATTATGGTGTTCCAATGATGTGAAGTTGCAGTGTGTTAGCATGTTAATTTCAACAGACTGCCACTCCAATGCAGCTTTAAACAACACGCTGCTGTGTTAACACAAAACAAAATATCATGCAAACACAACTTTAAACAATCTGTTGAGTGTTAGCTTCACTGCATGTTGGATTCAGTGTGCTGGCATATTATCACTGACGTACATGCTAGCACATTGTCACCTCGTGCTAGTATGTTGTCATAAATACTCTAGCACATTATCCTAAACCCACTAGTGCATGATTACTTTGCACTTGTATGTTGTCTTATTAGGGAATAGCATAAATGACTGCCTTAATTGGTGTAAACTTCTTTTAATTGATGAAAGAGTACATTAAAATTTACAAATTATACACAGAAAATGTGACAATATCTTATCTCTCAATTTGATAATCTAATTTATAATCTCATGAATTGCACTATTTATTAGTAAAAGAATTATAGATTAAAAAATTTCATTTCTTTTGGATAGGTGTGACTCATCTGAAGACTGAATTTTGATACCAAGCATGACCATGATTTGCCAGAAGATCATCTGTTTGGATGTGACATGGAATAAACAGCATAGTGAAAATAAGTCAAGTTTTGGTTTGTGAAGACAATTTTTAAACACACTGTGTATCATTTTTAAATTTTGATTTGACAACATAAATCCACAAATATGAACATATCAATTGCTCTCAGTTTTTCAAGTGAAATAGTTTTTGTAACAGAAATACATGTACCAGTAATTACATTGGAATAAATGTTATTTTTAAATATAATAATATTTTGTTTGTGTAGCATGTTGACCTCTTTATTAAGGTCTTCCCTTTCAAAGTTTAGACTTACTTATTCTAATGATTAAGATAGATCCTCTGTCTTCAGCAGGAATAGAAGATCTTGTAATACATGTATGTGTATTTTTTACAGTATAATGTAAAAAAAATTGTTATTTTGGCACATACAACTAATTAAAGGCATAAACATGTGTATGATTCCAAGGAATTCAGTACATAGGGCATGTACATGTAGTTTTCTAAAACAAGATTGAAGAGATGTCCAGTAGCATTTCAATGTCAACTGCAAAACTGTGCCTGTTGCATATTTATTAGCCCATCTGAGCTAAAGGAACCAGTAAATTTTTTAAAAACATAATTTTATCCATTATCATCATTGTCTAAAATTTCACAATATCATTTTCCAGAACCAAAGTGAAACTTGGCACAGAGCATCCTTAGTGTAGGGGATTCAAATTGTTCTTATGCAGGGCAATACCTTCAAAGAGATTTGTTTCTTTAATGCTGTAAATGTATAATATTTAGCTTGTACAATATTTGGTGGGAATTGACTTTTGAATAAGTTAGCGTAGATATTCTTATTTATATTTATGTACAAGACTTTTAGCTTTGTACTTGATTTAGTGATTGCTGCATTCCGCCAAAGCCGCTAAAAAAGAATACACAGCCATATGTAATATGTTTACAATATACCTTTCAGAGAATTTTACACTCCTATTGAGGTACCACCAGTTGCTAGTGGAAAGCTGCAAATTCGAAACATACACAACACATTTCTGTGCGTTTATTATAAAAGTATTGTTCTACTTACTGATTGCAACTAATGAAGATTGTTCATCATTATTGTAAATACATTTGGATTTTTTGAATTATTATATAATTTGTTTATTTTATTTACCTAGTTATATTGTATATTAAATGATTTTAAAGCCATTTTTAAGATGGTAATGTAGCAAAACACTTATGTTTCTGTAGTATGACACGTTTCACAAACATGATATATCCGATATCAAAAGTCATAATATTGGAAGTTAAACTGTTGTGGATACGATTTCAAGAATGCTGTTAGAGAGAGTACCCTTTAGACCTTATGCTCACACCAAATTAAAGAATTCAAGTAAGGGTTTCTGAGACAAATCGAAAAAGAGAATGTTAGCAAAGTTGACAATCTAGACAGAAACATTTAATCTTTTGCTTATCGCTAGGAAGGAAGACCCACTCGTTGCTTTGCAACGAGCTTTGCTCTAGTTATTCTTTTTTTTTCTTCTACTTCCTAGACCGCAACTTTGAGGCCTCATATCTCACTCATTTCTCAACGGATTTCGCTCAAATTTTCAGAGGTTATAGATGTTTATAAACTCTATCAGAATATTGACTAAAATTTCAAAAAGTCACTTCCGGTTTTGAGTTATTTTCCTTTAAACGAAAATTTATAGGCTTTCGTTTCCAGACAAAGGCTCAGAGACGGCTTAATCTGGAGCAGAAAATCTACTGATTATAGATAATAGAAGGATTGAAGTTGTGCACATCGGTTTTTGTTTTTCGATTTCTCTATTCAAGATGGCGCTATATAGGGGTCAAAAATTAGAACGCTTGAAAGAACCAAAATTTACTCATACTTTGCTTTTTATCTTCTAAACTAAAAATATTTTGTTAAAATATATAGAACAAAATTTGTGCAGAATTACATGATCTTTCAAATGATATCTCGAAAAAAGGGCTGACCCCTAAATTAAGGGATCTAGAGGGGCCGAAAGTTTTTTCCAGATATCTCAAAAAGTATTGAGAATTTGTAATATGTCCAAGAAGCAAAGTTGTTGAAAATGTCAAGCTCAATCTATTGAACTCGTCAAAATGCGTCCAGCGAGGTCATTTCCGGTCAAACCGGAAGTCGTCAGAAATGCATATTTTTGCCGTTCTTGACAAGTTTTTGGGTAACATATGTCACTGGGAGCATAAAACTTAATTTTCCGTCCGTCGACATCACATCCGGTCAAACCGGAAGTATCCAACAATAGCTTATTTTTCAAGGTTTTGATGCAAAGTTGAAATATCTTTTCATACTTTAAATGCTAACGTCTTAAAGAACTGTTTAAAAAACAAACGAAATATATCAGCTTGTTATTTACATTTGCGACGTAATTGTCTTTAATATGACTAACCATGATCACAATTTGTTTTTGTTTTTCTCCACATTCTGTGGTATTTAAGAAAAAAGTTATGAAAATCCAATATCATTTTTAAATGCACATTTAAAGATATAGCAACACGACTAGTTCCCCATTTTCAATACAACAAATGTTGTCACATGCCATTTTCCTGTATTTTTGTCATACCTGAAGGATTTTTTTATCAACTTTTATAATTAGGTCCTCAAAGGGGTTTTTTTTACATATTAAATGAAAATCCTTCAGAGAAATATTATTAATCATGCATTACTTTATATGATGGTTTTTCATTATTTCATCGCCGATAAATCAGTTTTAAGGACAGATGATACAAACAAAAAATGGATGCCTTGATTTGTATATATTTCTTTGGTTTAATTTTATTGAAAATGGTGCAAATAATAAATTTCTAGAATAAAGGAATTGGAAGTGTTCTAAGATGTTTAAATTCTCCCTCTCTGAAACCATCCTTATTAATCTTTACAAATATTCTTCACTTCATCTCCCATTCTTTTTGAAAATTTGAATAATAAATTAAAAACTACGCGGTGAAACTTCTTTGTTTTACTGATTAAAACATGACTCAAGTTCTTATTTTCAAATACTTGAAAAAGTTTGTTTGTATCATCTGTCCTTAAAATCCCCATGAAAGAGTTAAGTCACAATATTAATGCTGTTAGATGTAAATGCAACTTACAAAATTTCTGAGG